CTTTTTGCTGAGGCTGGCTTTGAACTCACAATCCTCCTGTCTCAGCCTCCCAAGCCACTGGGTTACAGGCATAAACACGCACAGCTACTAAGTTTACTATTTAATTTTGGTTAAAATGCAATATATTTAGAAATACAAGAAAATATGCAGTTAAAAAAAAAAAGAAATGGGATGATGGAGATGCCAGTTACCCTCATCTTATCATCATACATTGTGTATGTGTGTTGAGGTGTCACATTGTGCCCCCTAAATGTGTATACTATTATGTCAAAAATAATATATTGAAGAAAATACCATATATCTTAGCCCCCTGTTCTCTGCCATGTAGTAAGAGCAGGAGTTGCGCATCAAGGACTCTCTGAGGTTGAAATTACACTGAGGCAATGTCCAAGGCAAGTGGGCCTGGCCCCAGGAAAGCTGTGGAAGGGAGGCTTCCAGCCCAAAGTGCGGTTGCAACAGGGAGTGGCTCTCTGGCCATTCTGGAACCAGATGGCAGAAGTTGTTTAAGCCAAGAATAGATGAGGGGAATGGGCGTCTCCTCTGGTCTTCCTGGCCCTGTGAACGTCTGATATGGTGTGTGTTCCCTCCATTGCTTCACGTGGCCAGACCCATAAGTACTGAGCCCATCTGAGAGCCTTGAGAACAGGTAAGACAGGCCCTTTGTCTTCAGAGCCCACAAAGCAGTGGGGAGGCAGATCACAAAAAACCCTCTGCCACAGGCAGATAAGTGCTCCCAGGGACAGCCAGGCAAGTGAGTGCTTAAGGAGAGAGGCTTCAGAGGAGTTGGCAATGAACTGAATTTTGCTAATAGAATTGGAGTTGCCAGGAAGGCAAGGAAAGGGAAAGGGTATGGCCTCTACCTAGAGGTATAGAAGGAAATGACATGTTTGGAGAACTGGTCAACCTGAGCACAACAGGGGAATGTGGTCTTTCCAGGGCTTTGGGAATCCATATTCAGTCCCTGTCCTGAATTAGTGCTCAGCATCTCCAGGTGGCAGTTGATCATATCAGGACAGGAGTAGACGACACCTGGATTGTTCCCTCCATGCTCCCACCTATTCCCTAGGATACCCATTGTTTTTCTACTTTGAGCAGAATGGCCAAGACCGGGATGTTTACATGAGCTGAGTCTGCAGAATTAAATTCCAGACTTCTCCAAAAAAGAAGACAGGGCGACAGCTGGCAGCTTCCTGAAAGTCTGAGATCAGAGGAAACTTTGACCTAGAGAGGAGGAAGAGGAGGACATCTAGTTGAGATTGGGTCCTAGCTAAGGGGTTCCTCAACACTTGGCTTCTAACACAGAGACCTCAACACTAGTGGAGGAGAGTATCTTTAATAGATTTATTAGGGTGTAACTTAACATACTATGAGATTCTCCTGTTTCTAATATACAATTCAATGGTTTTTAGTAAATTTGCAGAGTTGTACAACTGTCACCACAGTCAGCTTTATTTTTTATTTATTGATGCTGAAGATTGAACCTAGGGCTTCACACAACTAAGCACATATTCCATCCACAATTAAGGATGACGTACATCCTCAGCCCTTTTTATTTTTTATTTCAAGATAGGGCTCTCTACATTTCCTAGTCTGGCCTTGAACTTGCAATCCTCCTGCCTCAGCCTCCTGAGTGGCTGGAATTATAGGCATACACTCATGCCCGGCCACAATTCAGTTTTAGAACATTTCCATCACCCCAAAAGGATCTCTTGTACCCATTTGCAGTCCATCCTTATTCACACCCCAGCTCAGGAGAACATTAATCTGCATTCTGTCTCTATAATAATCTCCCTTTTTTGGACCACTTTGCATGATTTTCTTGAGATTCATTCATGTGAAAGCTTATGACAGCAGTTCTTTATTTGTTATTGCTGAGTAGTATTCCATTGTACAGATATATCATATTTTATCTGTTTACCAGTTGATAATCTTTTAGATTATATCTACTTTTTAAAAAAATTGTTTTAGTTGCCAATGGACCTTTATTTTATTTATTGATACGTGGTACTGAGGATCGAATCCGGTGCCTCACTCATGCTAGGCAAGCACTCTGCCACTGAGCCACCACTCCAGTCCCTTATATCTACTTTTTTACTATCAAGATTAATGCTGGGCTGGGGATGTGGCTCAAGCGGTAGCACACTTGCCTGGCATGCATGCGGCCCGGGTTCGATCCTCAGCACCACATACAAGCAAAGATGTTGTGTCCGCCGAAAACTAAAAAAAAAAAAAATTATAAAAAAAAAGATTAATGCTGCGGAGCATTCATGTACAAATATTTCATATAAACATACATTTTTCACTTAGTGGGGTAGATACTTAGGAGTGGATTTGCTGTATGGTAAAATTTTTTTAAATATTTATTTTTTGTTGTTGGATACAATACCTCTATTTTATGTATTTATTTTTATGTGGTTCTGAGGATCAAACCCAGGGCCTTGCACGTGTGAGGTAAGCAATCTATCGCTGAGCCACAACCCACCCCTGATGGTAAATTTTTTAAGCTTTTAAGAAACTGCCCAAATGAATCTGGGGATATGTCTCAGTTAGTAGAGTGCTTGCCTTGCATACATAGGCCCTGGGTTTAATTCCCAGCACCACAAAAACAAACAAACAAAAAATCCCTGACAAACTGTTTTCCAAACAGTTTTAATATTTTACATTCCTGCCAACAGTGAATGAGCATTCTAATTTCTCTGTTCTATGTTCTTTTCAACATTTGTTTTTTCAACAATGTGTTCACTTATTATTGTCAGTCTTTGAAGTTTTTTGCTTTGTTTTTGTTTTGATACTAGTGATTGGCATATGCTAAGCACATGCTCTACCACTGAGCTATATCCCCAGACCTTTTTATTTTTTATCTTGAGACAGGGGCTCACTAAGTTGTTTAGGGCCTTGCTAAGTTGCTGAGGCTGGCTTAGAATTTGTGATCCTTCTACCTCAGCCTCCTGGATTGCCAGGATTTTCAGGCATGTGTCACTGTGCCCAGCTATCCCAGTCCTTTTTACTTTTTTTTTAATATTAATTTTTTAGTTGTAGTTGGACACAATACTTTATTCATTTATTTATTTTTATGTGGTGCTGAGGATCAAACCCAGGGTCTCGCACATGCAAAGCAAGCGCTCTGCTGCTGAGCCACAACCCCAGCTTTCATTTTTACTTTTGTATTTTGAGATGGGGTCTCACTAAATTACCCAGACTAGCTGAAACTTGCAATGCTCCTGCCTCCGCCTCCTGAGTCATTGGATTATGGTCATATACCACGCTGCCTGGCCCAGCTGTCAATCTTTCTTGTTATATCATTCTGCAGAACTTTTTTTTAAATATTTATTTTTTAGTTTTCAGTGGACACAACATCTTTCTTTGTATGTGGTGCTGAGGATCGAACCTGGGCCGCACGCATGCCAGGCGAGTCCCCAGCCCCCTGCAGAACTTTTAAAAATATACACAATGCCTTGGCTCTATCTCAGACCAATCACATCAGAATCTTGGGGTTTGGGAGCTTGGCATAGGTATGCGAAACAAAAACCTATCTACTTTAAAAGGTGCTACTATGCAGAAGAGTAAGGGACTAGAGGTTCAACCTCCGATCAGAAGCTCTGCCTTACCCAGCACTAAAAAGGGAGCTCAAGCCGGCCAGCCGTCTCCCCCACACCAAGAGACAAATGATTTGGGGCATGGGAGACAAGATTCCCTCCAAGAAAGCACGTGTGTGGTCCCAGGGTGGACCAGCTTGTTGATGGGGCATGATGATGCCCTCCTGCAATCCCAGAGACTCGGGAGCCTGAGGTAAGAAGATGCAATTTTGAGGCCAACCTGGGGCTACTCTGCAAGATCCTATTTCAAAATATTTTTTTAAATTAGAGGGTTTGGGGTGTAGCTCCACAGTAGAACAAATAACTGGCATGTGTGAGACCCTGAGTTTAATCCCTAGTATGGGGGGTGGGAGGGCATGTTGGAAGGGAAAGTGAAGGAGCTTGGAAGTGGGTTGTGTGAAGAAGTCCCAACTTCTCCAGCCATGGTAGTACATGCCGCCTGTAATCCTAGCGACTGGGGAGGCTGAGGCAGGAGGATTGCAGGTTCGAGGCCAGCCTCAACAACTTAGCAAGGCCCTGAGCAACTTAAAGAGACCCTTCCTCAAAATAAAAAATAGCAGTGAGCCTCCAGGTGGAACGCCTTGTATGGTGGAGCTGGCTGCTTCTGGGTTACCTCCAGCGATGCTAACATAATGCTAAAGCAATTCATGAGAAGGCAGCAAGTTCCCTGCTCTACATAAAGATTTTGCAAGCAATTTGCCAAGTTTCAAATGATTCTGATCACAAGTACCTGAAAGACTGGGCAAGAAGGATTCAAAAGAAACAAAAGTGCCACCAAAGAGCATGCAATCCGGACAATGATTACTCAGGGCACTATGCAGCTAAAGGAGTTAGAAGAAAACACTTGCTTCAGCAAAATCTTAATATAGCATTATTCTGGAGAATCTTCAAACCTCCATGTGATTTGTTGAGCCTGGTTGCAATGGACAGCTCAAGGCCAAGTCAAACTGTATGTACAGTACTTGAGCAAAATATCCAGACAGACAGGCTGTGTTACAGAGAGCAGAGAAAATTACATCCAAGTAATTGTCTGGGGACTGAAAAATATACTTGAGTTTTGAAAATGAAAACTAATCATAAAATATAATAAAAAAGACTGGGTGTGACTCATCACACACACATACGATAAAAAAAGAAGGAAGGGAGGAAGCTGGGCAAGGTGGCGCACACCTGTAATTTCCCAGTGGCTCCGGAGGCAGAGGCAGGAGGATCGCGAGTTCGAAGTCAGCCTCAGCAATGGTGAGGCTCTAAGCAACTCAGTGGAATCCTGTCTCTAATAAAATACAAAATAGGGCTGGGGTGTGGCTCAGTGGTTGAGTGCCCCTGAGTTCAATCCCTGGTATCCCCTCCCCCCCCCAAAAAAAAAAGAAGGAAGGAAGAAAAAGAAGAAAGAAAAGCCCCAATTTCTGCCTAGCCACCTAAGATTGCAACACGGCACTTCCCATGACCTTGGGGGTAGGTCAGGCCCCTGAGGAGATTAGGGAAGAGTGGCATTCCTGGCTGCAGACCACTCAGACAACCCTGAAGAATCGCAGAGAGATGGATGGTGCCACCGGAAGCAGAGAGAGCTTAGCAGCTCAGCTGGGAAGTAGGCCAGGGCCACACAGGCTGCCATAAATTTCCTCTTTTTGAAGAGTCTGTGGAGGATAATAAGCATCCATTCTTGAATTCCACAAATGTTTATGGAGCCCTTCCATGGGCCAGACTCGGCCAGGCACTGGACATTCAGCCAGGAGTAAGAATGCCAGGCTCCCTCCCACCCCCGTGGGGCAGCACAATCAATAAATATCTAGGCAGACAGAAGGACAGGCAGTGAGGGGATGGGGCCTCTCATTGGGGTGACATTGGAGCGGAGGTCGGAGTGAACCGGGGAAGCCATCTACGTCGGGCATGTGTTTGAAGATGCACTGGCGGAAGAGCTAGTGGGAAGCCCACGCTGCTCAAACTGGTGTGTTCTGAATGGCGGGATAAGGTGGAGCCACAGAGGAAGGGGACAGGAGCTAGGTCACCTAGAATGTCTTGGGGGTCACGACCAGAGATCCAGGTTGAATTTTGTGCACCAGGGGGAACCAATGGAGAGTTTGAAAAGGGTAGAAAAATGTCATGGCTTGCATTTTTCAAAAGATCACTTTGGTTGGTACAGAGAAACTAGCCCTTCAGTAGGAACTATGAGGAGGGGGATGAGGCCAGTTGCCCAGGAGAACAGGACAGTGATCTGGACTTCTGTGGGTGCTCGTGGGGACAGGTATAGGAATGCAGAACATCTTTTGGAGTTAGAGACACCAGGATTTGCCGACATGAAGCATAGGATAAAAGGGGCAAGAATGTTTGACTTGAACACTGTGTGAGGGGCAGGGCTCTGCTCTGGGATGGAGAGAGAGAGAGGAACAGCATGTTACACTGGTGGGGGAGGGCTTGCTCAAACATGGGAAAGAGGAGAAAGGTCAAAGGGCTGCGGTGTCCTGAGTGCCGGCTATGAGTGGGCAGTCCTCGTTAGACCAATGCACATGCTGTGTTGGGACTCCAGAGACTGTAGTATTAGGGCATCTTGGAAACGGTGCTGGAAGATGTTGGCTGCTGCTTGCAACTTTTAGGAAGGCCCTCCAAAAAGAAGACAAGTTTAAGCTAAAGATGGACCTAACATTATTATCAAAAGAAATAGTCCCACCAGGAGTGGTGGCTCAACGCCTATGATTCCTGTAATTCAGGAGGCTGAGACAGGAGGATCGCAAGTTCAAGGCCAGCCTCAGCAGCTTAGTGAGGCCTTGTCTCAAAATAAAATGGGCTGGGGATGTAGCTCAGTAGTAAAGCACCCTGGGTTCAATCTCCAGTGCACCCTCTCCCCGAAAAAGAACCTACCACTATCACCTCCTCCCTTCAGTCACTTTGAAATGTCAACTGGTTTATGAAATCCAGCCATCTAGGTGGCACCGTTACAGATGCCCCATCCCTTTCTCCAAACAATCTGAGGCTGGAAAACCCATGCAGAGTGTAAGGAAACCGACAGTTACCTTAGAGGAACAGAGAGAGAGAGAGGAACAGAGAGAGAGACTGGCCCCCATGAGTAAATCAGCGTCAACCAGCAGCTGACACAGGCCTAGAAAGATGTGTGGAACCAAGAAAAAAGGAAATCACAGGGAAAATGAGCTGCTCCAGGTCGACATTCAAGCCAAGACCGAGAGGGCAGGTACCAGTGCAGATGACCCAGGGCCCGGGAAGCAGCACCTTGTCAGAAACCTCACAGTCCTTGAGTTTCAAACCTGGAAAGTCCTTCAGGGACCAGGTGGCCAGCTCTGTCCCTGGATAAAGGAACTTGTCTTCAAGGAGGAAATGAGAAAGGAGAACACAGGGACAGGTCTCTTCCTAGCCTTAGAAGCCACAGAAACTCAGCCAACAGTTCTGCCCCGGCTGAACTTAGAAAGCCCCAGTCTTTTTTTTTTTTTTAATATTTATTTTTTAGTTGTAGTTGGACACAATATCATTATTTTATTTATTTTTGTGTGGTGCTGAGGACTGAACCCAGGGCCTCGCGCGTGCTAGGAGAGCACTCTACCGCTGAGCCCCAGCCACCAAGTCTTATATTTCCCCTTTACTCTATTTGGTAACTGTCCAGTCCCCAAGGGGCTTGTTCTGTCTAGCTGTTTACATTGTGGGAACAGATGTAATCATGTTCTTCCTGGGCTGCTATGTGTCCCCCTCAGGCCTCTCCCTCATTCCGACTGCAGCCCCTGTCACATGTCCTGGGCACACCCAGGATGACCCACACAGACACATGAGCTGCGTGCTCTTGGCCCGGCAGGGTGAGCAGCAGGGGTGGTGCCGTTTCCTGAGGAGCAGCTTGGCTGGGCACGGAGGTTGGGGACGGTCAGAGGGGAGAGGAGCCAAGAGCGATGCAGCTTCTCCAAGCTAGGCGGAGATCCAAAGGAAACACAGCTGGAGACAGGAGAAGCAAGCCAGGTGACCCAGCTGACATCCTGGGCAGAAACCCAGCTTGGCATCCTATGGCCACTGTCACCTGTGCTTACGTACTTGGACCAGGTATTACTTCCTGCTGCACCTCAGTTTTCCAACCTGCAAAACAGGGGCAATACTAGCTCTCCACAGGGATGGATGAGAGAATTAACTGGGGTAATAAACAGAGAAGTTGGGGGAAGCTGGGTGTAGTGGTGCACACCTGTAATCTCGGCAATTTGGGAGAATTTGGGAGGCTAAGAGAGGAGGATCACAAATTCCAGGTCAGTCTGGGCAATTTAGCTGTCTCAAAATAAGGAATAAAAACTCCCTCAGGGGCTGGGGTTGCGGCTCAGCGGTACAGCACCCACCTAGCACATATGAGGCCCTGGGTTCCATCTTTAGCACCACATAAAAATAAATAAAGGTATTGTGTCCAACTACAACTAACAACAACAACAACAATAAAAACTCCCTCAAAAACCAAATCAAAGCAAAAACAAAAAAACAAGAAAGAGCTGGATGTGGGATTACATACCTGTAATCCCAGTGGCCCAGGAGGCTGAGGCAGGAGGATTGCAAATTCAAGGACAGCCTCAGCAATTTAGTGAGGGCCTAAGCAACTTACAAGACCCTATCTAGGGGCTGGGGATGTGGCTCAAGCAGTAGTGCGCTCACCTGGCATGCGTGCGGCCCGGGTTCGATCCTCAGCACCACATACAAACAAAGATGTTGTGTCCACCAAAAACTAAAAATAAATATTAAAATTCTAAAAAAAAAAAAAAGACCCTATCTAAAAACAAAACACATTAAAAGCGGGGAGTGGGGTGGGTGGATGGGGATTTTGCTCAGTGGTTAAGTGCCCTTGGGCTCAATCCTCCATACCAAAAAAAAAAAAAATACACAGAGTGGATAGTTGAGAGCACGGGCTCTGGAGCCAGACCAACTTGAGCTAATTACTTGACCTCTCTGGTCTCCGTTGCCTCATCTGTAATCTGGGGGCTGGTGATACCTACAGGATGTTACCAGGTGTAAGTGAATTAGAGTTTGCAAAGTACTTTCTGCTTGTTAACAACGGGTTAAGGCTAATTATCAGAATCATTAATTGGGCCCTTTGGTACACCATGAAGTAGTTCTAGCACTTTATATGCTTTAATCACATAAAATCCTCACTTCTAGCTGGGTTGTAGCTCACACCTACAATCCCAGTGGCTTGGGAGGTTGAGACAGGAGGATTGCAAGTTCAAAGCCAGCCTCAGCAATTTAGGGAGGCCTTCAGCACTTAGTGAAACCCTCTCTCTCAATAAAATATAAAAAAGGCTGGGGTTGTGGCTCAGTGTTAATCGCCTCTGGGTTTGATCCATGGTACCAAGAAACAAAACAAAACAAAAAATTCCTCACTACTCCCCAGGACAGATCATCCCCATTTACAGAGGTGGAAGCTGAAGCTCAGAACAGATTGGCTTTTCTATTTCCTCTAGAACAAATGCTGGTGAACCAGGGCTGAGCAGTGACTCCAGCCAGCAGCCTGCTGTCTGGACACTCTGGAGTCAGCTTCTGAGACGCTGTGGTGGACTCAACAAAGCCCGAAATACGAACCATCTGGTGCTTTACCGGAAAGCTTTGAAGTAGCAGGACTGGAACCACGTCTGTCTGGACCAAGCACTTCGGGCTTTCCTGCCTGGGTCTCACTCTAGATGTTGAAAAGCATCTCTTTCTTTTGCTGGCCATGTTTTATTTGTCCTTTTTCTTCAAACAGGACATCCAAGATACAGACGAACTGACTAAAATAAAATAGACGGACAGATCCTAAGAGACTGCGATGCGCATGCTACATTCAACCTGATTTTATTCATGCTTGCCTTGGGGTGGGGAATAGATCATTCGGTAAAAACATACATAAAAACAAACAATGTCTTACCATGTACAACTTTTAAACTATAATAATTATGTACCTTAATTACTTCCTGCACAAAGGTCTAACATTACAGTATTTTTAAAAAATAAACACAATGAAGACTTCTAGGAGGTCTGGGGATGTGGCTCAAGTGGCAGCGCGCTCGCCTGGCATGCGTGCGGCCCGGGTTCGATCCTCAGCACCACATACCAACAAAGATGTTGTGTCTGCCGAAAACTACTAAAAAATAAATATTAAAAAAAGATTTCTAGGAACATTTTATCATAAATTAATTCCTAATTTTTCTTTGTAGATAGATCAAGCACCTCCAAAATACAAATTCCTATCCACGGTGAGTACTTTACTTAAAATGTAGGAAGGATTTCTTCCCAGTCCCTCTGAGTGCTGGGAATACTCCTTTTCCCTCTTCAGTGGAAGGGATTTGGAGATTCTCATCTGTCATCCTTCAAAGCCAAGAAGTTTGGGGTCAGGGACACAACCAAAGCTCGTCCTCCAACATCATTCTGAGCTGTAAGGGCTGAGGACAATTGTTGTTTGGTGCTGGGATTGAACCCAGAGGGACTTTACCACTGAGCCACATGTCCACTCCTTTTTACTTTTTATTTTTCAGACAGGGTCTTGCTATATTCCTTAGGGCCTCGATGAGTTGCTGAGGCTGGCCTCCAATTTGTAATCCTCCTGCCTCAGCCTTCGGAGTCACTGGGATCACAGGCGTGCACCACTGCAGCTGGCCTGAGGATGGTTCTGAGAGAAAGGGAAACCCAGGTAATGGAGAGAGGCAGGCTGAGTGGGCAGGTCCCTGGAATCAGGGCACCTCTGAAATGGAAAAGAACCAAAGGAATGCCATTTTGCTCTGACCTGCCTCCATTTTATGCTTGCTTAAAATGTCTTCTTTCCAGCCTCCTGACGCTGTGTCTGTGCTGACAGTACAGTAGGACCTTGCCGCCCCTGACTAAGGCCCTGATGTACCACAGAAACGACTCCGAGATGGATGATCCAAAGCATTCTCTCATGTTACCAAAATATGTCTCAACAAGGTCTTTTCTGACTTACATCTGGCTCAACTGTCTTTGTGGTTTTTGTGGGTTTTGCCTTTATAAACTCTATATTTCAAAATCCAGGAGCTGGGAGTTCTGGGAGGCGCTGGCCCGCTCCCAACGGCTTGCCTGGCACCCTCATTAAAGGGCTTTTCCCCTTTCAATTTGGCTTCATAAGTGTGGTGGTCTGTCATTCTGCTCGCTGCGTAACACCTCCTCCCCCACTGCCCAGCTCCAGGCTGTGCGAGTCCACCAAGCTGAGGCCCACAAGGCGCAGCAGAGGAAAAGAACCCCAGGGTGCTCTAGGTCCTGCCTTCTCCCCAGGGTATCCCAGGGCTCCAAACCAATTCCATCACTGAGCAAATATGTATTCAGCACCTTCTGTGTGCCATGCACTGTTCTAAGCACTAGGGATAAAGTGTTGAACAAATCCCAGCTCTCACAGAGACAGACAAATACACAAGAAAATATTTCAAAACATATCTGTCATCCTAGCGACTTGGGAGGCTGAGGTAAGAGAATTGCAAGTTCAAGGTCGGCCTCAGCAATTTAGCAAAGCCTTAGCAACTTAGCAAGATCCTGTCTCAGATTTAAAATTTAAAAGTGCTTGAGATGTAGCTCAGTGGTAAAGTGCTTCCGGGTTAAATCCCCAGTTATCCTCGCCCACTCCCCAAAGTAGTAAGATCTATAAGGAAAATGAACCAGGCCGACTGATTGAGAGGAACTGCTAGAGAGGCAGGGAGGGACACATCTCTGAAGTAACACGATTAAGCTGAGCCCAGAATGACCAGGAACCAGCCTTGGAAGTTCAAGCAGGAAAGTGTCCCAGGTATCCCAGGTAGAGGAATGGACACATGCAAAGGCCCCGAGCAAGAAACAGAAGGGCCAGTGTGGCTGAAGCAGAAGGAAGAGGCTGAGAGGAGAGATGAACCAGGAGAGGCCCTATCACATGCCTGGAAGCCAGAGCACAGAGGCAGGAACTTCATCTTCAGTTTGCTAAAAAGCCATGCCCATTAATGCTACAGACTGTACCTCGAGTTTTTTGAGCACTAAGTGCCAACTGCTTATTAATCCTTCCAACACAACGACCCATTTAATGCCCACAAGCAATCCGAAAAGGGAGGTGCCCTGATTATCCTCATTTTGTAGATGAGGATACTGAGGCCCAGGGCTGTGGAAACACTGGTCCAAGGACACAAAGCTCTATTGAGTGCTCACAGGAGCTGTTGTAGGGACAATGGGTTACAGGGAACAAGACCCTGTAAGAGATAAAAATGATACAAAGATGGAGCTTGCATTTCAGCAAAGAAAAGAACAGGTAAGTTGGGTGCAGTGGCTGAAGTCTATAATGGGCATTTCCTTGGGAGGAAAAGCTAATGCCCATTAGGTATCACTAAATTGCTGAGTTTGGCCTTGAAATTGTTATTTTCCTTCCTCAGGCTCCCAAGTTCCTGGGATTACAGGCGAGTACCACTGAGCCTGACTTTAATGGGCTATAAAACCCACCTCCCACTCCCCCATAAACACTGTCACAAAGTTGCTTCAATCTTTCCCACCAAAAAGAGCTCATAAGAGTGACACCACAGGTTGTTAGGAAAGTTATATAAGTTGGACGAGATATAGGGTGACCAGCTCTCCTGGTTTACCTGGCACAGAGTGGGTTCCCAAGTCAGTTTTGAAGCCAGCTGCTCATCCTAGCTAGATGAGTGCCTGGTGCTAAGACTCCTTCCCCTTTTCTGTTTCATTATTTGACAACAAAAAGATAGCAGCACCTACTCCTGTCCTAGGTGCTTGGAACCTTGTAGGCAGTAGATGGGAAACAGGAGTACTGTCCGGAGCACCTAGCGCCAAGGACTCACCAAACCAGGGTCCAAGGAAACAGCAGACCCCCCTCTAGGGTGATTCCGATCCCCTGGGTGTTGCCTTCCTGGGCTGATACACTTGTTTGGACTTGCTTTCCCAAATGGGAAGGGTCTCTGGGTAGTAAGGTCCCCAGGTCGATTGGGAGACTCCACAGCAAAGCTAGGCCAGGATGGCAAGGCCTAAGAAATAGTTCTTACTGTCACTCATATTTTGCTGGATGAAGAAACTGAGGCTCAGCGACCCAAGTGAAGCTATTTGGCCAAGATCATGCAGGAAGATGGTGCAGGAAGAGATGAGTAATTGGAATTCGATGGCTGTGCTTGAGCAGGCCTGCTCCTGTACTTCCCTCCCTCTTGCGGGGCTTCAGTCCCCCACTTGTCTCGACAGCAACCGAACTTGTCACGGGGCTCGGTTCAACCCTCTCCACCCTCCCGGCTGCCAGCGTCCCGCCCCGTCCCCTCCCAGCCCCCAGGGAGGAGGGGAGTGCTGCAGCGAGGAGGGGGGTCGCGGAGGCCAGGCTTTATAAAGGCGCTGGAAGAGCGCTGCCCGCCAGACCCTGCCGCACGGATCCGAGCGCTGCCCGCCGCCCCACGCGACCGCGCCGTGCCCCAGCTCCACCGCTTAGTGAGTTGGGGCAGGTCCCCATCCCACCTCGGCCCTGGCGGCGAGGTCCTTTGAACCCGGGTTGGGGAGGAAAGCCGACGAAGGAGGGCGCTGAGATGGGGGCACCAGGCAGAATCTCCAATGGGAGAGATTTAGGGCCAGAGGGAACCGGGAGACCTCGGAGCCCGCGGCCCGGCTGGCCATTGCGGCAGGGGACCTAGGAGACCCAAACCTCGCTCCAGGAATGCGCGTGCGGTTGTTGCCACGGCAACGGACCAGCCAGAGCCCGCCGGTCTCCAGGGGAAAGGGGAGGTTGTTGGGGGGATGGGGGCTGGTTCCCCGGAGGTCCAAACTCGTCACGCGGCGGTTGCACGAGGGAACTGAGAATGCCCCTTTCCCGGTGCCCAAATCCTTCGGTAGACAAAGCGCTAGTCTCATGGCCTCTCTGAGCCTCAGTTTCTGCATCTGCCAAATGGAGGCAAGATTATTGGTTCCCAGCTCCCTGGCGAGTTATAAGCGTGTAACGGTCCGGCCCAGTTCCCTCTTATTGGACATCCAAGGAGCGGGTCTTAGCAGCCCAGACGATCCCTGCGACCCCTCCCACCCTCAGGCCCGCTGGCCATGGCCCTGTTCGGGGCCCTCTTCCTAGCGCTGCTGGCAGGCGCCCGCGCGGAGCTCCCGGGCTGCAAGATCCGCGTCACCTCCAAGGCGCTGGAACTGGGTAAGGCGTGGGTGCAGGCGCGGGGGCGGCAGCGGTCGCCGTGGGGGGCGCGCAGCTAAGGGTCTCACTGCTGCCTCAGTGAAGCAGGAAGGGCTGCGCTTTCTGGAGCAAGAGCTGGAGACCATCACTATTCCAGACCTGCGGGGCCAAGAGGGACACTTCTACTACAACATCTCCGAGTAAGTCGGCCCGGGGCGGGGCCTCGGGGCCGGGGCGGGGCCTCGACGGTCCGGCGCCCTCGGCCTCCGGAGGGGGCGCTGACGGATCGAGGCCGAGGGGCTGGGGGCGCGGCCAAATTGAAAGGGCGGGACTTAAACAGGATGGCCCTCAAGGTAACCGCCAAGACTGCTACCTCCGGCGGGACAGGAGGTGGGCGTGGTCTAGAGGATGTGGGCGGGACCAAGACGAACCCAGGCGGTGGTTTTGAAGCCTCGCCCCAGTGCCCTGGCAAGGCCGAGAGGAGGCGTTTAGCAGTGGAGGAGAGTGAACTCCAGGGCATGGGTTGGAGCTAATGGGAAGGTGAGTTAGGAGAGGAGGGATAGGAGAATTGGTGTACGGGCAGAGCTTAGCTTGGGAGGGTGTAGCAGGGGAGGGGGTGCAAGCAACAAGACTTCTAAGAGGTGGGGTTAGCGGGCATGGTGGTCCAGCTACTCAGGAGCTAGGAAGGTTGCGGCAGGAGGATCGTTTTTAGCTCAAGAGTTACACACCAGCCTGGGCCACAGAGAGGGAGAAAGATGGGTGAAGTTTACTTTTAACACTTAGGTTAGCAGGAGCTAATCTCTGAGCCACTCAAGTCCAGGCCACCCACCAGCGTCCCCGCTGGACTGGAAGAGGAGAGAATGGCTTTCCTGTGGTTGGGTGGAATCTTCTCCTGGCCCTGGATCTGGATCTGACCCTGGGGCTTCCTACAGGGTGAGGGTCACGGAACTGCAGCTGACGTCCTCTGAGCTCCACTTCCAGCCCGAGCAGGAGCTTATGCTACAAATCACCAACGCCTCCTTGGGGCTGCGCTTTCGGAGACAGCTTCTCTACTGGTTCTTGTGAGGACACTGACCCTCGGCGGGGTGGAGGGAGTGCCAGCTGCACCGGGGTACTGTGGGCCTGGGGCAACCCCTTACATTTTCTAAGTTTCTCCATCCATACGCGAGGAACAATCGTGTCTACTTTATAAATATCCATAGGAGGGTTTACTAGGATGTCTGGTAAAGTATGAAGAAATGAGGCCTTATTAAGAGGTTCAAGCAGGGCACAGTGGTGCACACCTGTAATTCTAGCAACTTGGGAGGCTAAGGCAGGAGGATTGAGATTTCTAGGCCTCCCCATTAACTTAGTGAGACCCTGTCTCAAAATTAAAAACAAAACAAAACAAAAGTTGATGTGGTTATCACGATGGAGGTATGGGGGGTTGGAGGGCCGTGCAGACTCGCTCAGGCTCACAGCCACTTCCTTATGGCAGCTATGATGGAGGCTACATCAATGCCTCTGCCGAGGGTGTGTCCATCCACACGGGTCTGCAGCTCTCCCAGGATTCCTCTGGTCGGATGAAAGTGTCCAATGTCTCCTGCCAGGCTTCTGTCTCCAGAATGCATATGGTCTTCGGCGGAACCTTCAAGTGAGCGCCCCCCTGCATCCCCTTTGAGCCCCCCAGCCCATTTGCATCATGCAGGGCTCAGAAGTCAGACCCACAGCCTCCAGATCTTAGCTCCACCAACTGGCTGTGTGAACTTGGGCAAGTCATCGAAGTTCAGTGCCTCAGTTTCCTCACTGGTAAATTAGAGATGATAATACGACTTATTCTATAAGATCATTGTAAGGGTTATTTTGTTAATATTTTCAATATTATTATAATATTGTTGTAAACATTATGATATTTACAATAATAATGCAGTATTTACAGTATTACATATATTACAGTATTTACATTATTTACAATATTATTAAATTAAATATCACAATATTTACAAAATATTTATAAAAACACTTAGAATAGTACCTTGCATATGATAAATGACCATATAAGTGCTAGTCACTTAGATAGGAGTAATTGTGAAGATTAGTATGGATAGTTGGGCATGACTAAGTTCTCAATAATTAGTAGCTCTTTTTTAAAAAAAAAATTTTAGATGTAGATGGAAACAATACCTTTATTTCATTTATTTTTATGTGGTGCTGAGGATCGAACCCAGGGCCTCACACGTTGTAAGCAAGTGCTCTACCACTGAGCCACAACCCCAGCCCCCAAGTAGTAGCTCTTAAAAAAAAAATTATATGTATTTTTTTAGTTGTAGGGGGACAGTATCTTTGTTTTTATGTGGGGCTGAGGATGGAGCCCAGTGCTTCACACATGCCAGGCGAGCACTCTACCACTGAGCCCCAGGCCCAGCCCAATTCCGGATCTGATCTCAGAAGGGGGCTTTGTGCTGCTCCTGGGGGGTGGATTCCTCGTCTGGGTTGGTGTACTGTCAGTGTTTTGCCGAGTGTATGCCAGAGCCTGAGGATTTGGAGAGCAGCTCAGGGCCTAGCTGGAGCCATGAAACGTTCGTCCCAGGGTCCTGAGAGGGGCACCGAGAAAGCACTCTGGGATGCCGAGAGGGTGATCTAGGTGGACTGAGTGGAGGACACAGGGCAGAGCACCCGGGTGGAGGGAGGCCAAAGCCGCAGGAGCAGGATGCTCCGAGCAGCTGGGAGCCACTGGGCCTGCAGGGCCTGGAGCCAGGCCGGAGCAGGCCAGGGGCCTTGAGAACCAGGCAGGGGGTAGGTTGGGGCCGGATCTTGGTCCTCTGGTTGTGGAGGACCTGGTAATTGAGGCTAAAGCTGAGGAGTCCCTGTCACCACCGTTTCTCTGGCTGCTGTCCTTTGTCCTGGATCTGGATGGGGTAGGGCAGGGCTGGGCTCACCGGCCTCTCCCCTCCTGCAGGAAGGTGTATGAATTTCTGTCTACGTTCATCACCTCCGGGATGCGCTTCCTCCTCAACCAGCAGGTGTGGGCAGGGGCAGGTTGGGGGCAGCAGGGTGGGCCTGCCCTCCTTTGAGAAGGCCCTGACTCTGGCCCCGCCTTCCAGATCTGCCCTGTGCTCTACCACGCGGGAATGGTCTTGCTCAACTCCCTCCTGGACACTGTGCCTGGTGAGTCGGTGCTCGCGGGGCCAGGGGCCCGGGGAGGCCTGGGGAAGGTGGGTGGGGAGGAGGGTGGCTGCCACCAGTACGCCAGGGGGCCCAGCCGTGGGAAGTCCTGGGGTCAGTGTGCTGCCGACTTGCCGGGTGACCTCAGGTAAGGACTCACTTCCCTCTGGGCCTTGTATTCTCCACCTGGTGGCCAGCGCCTCCCCTTGGATGCGCACTGGAGCCCCCTCGGCTTCATCATCTGGCACGTAACAGGTGTTCCAGAACAGATTCCTTTTCCCCAGCGATGACCCTGGCTGCTGTGAGAGAGATCTTACCCCATCGTGCCCGACACCCAGGGTCTGGAGGAAAGGAGGAAGAACCAAGGAGAGGATTCCTTGGCCATTTTCTTTAGCAATTTGCTGAAGCCCTTGTAGTAGTCATAAAAGCACTTACTACACACCAGGCCCCGAGTGCTTTCCCATAGAACTAATCGGATCCTCCTAACAACCTATAAGAGGAGTTATCGCCAATTTATTGATGAGAAAGCTCAGAGAGGTTGAGCACAGACCTCACACAGCTTTGAACGACTTGCGCTCCTCCTTGCAGTGCGCAGTTCTGTGGATGAGCTTGTGGGCATCGACTATTCCCTGCTGAAGGATCCTGTGGTCTCAAGCAGCAATCTAGACATGGAATTCCGGGTGAGCCACCCAAGTTGGGGTGTGTGTGACCTCTGACCTCCCTCCCCCCACCCCCATGGCTGATTTTAGCTTCCTAAAGTAGAGCTCTGATGAGGCCACTCTCATTACTGAGAATGCCATGGCTCCCTGTTGCTGCAGAAGTAGGTTCAACCTCCTGCCTCTGGCATTTGAGCTTTGTTAATTACATCTGGCCCTGCCTTTCCAACTTCATCCCATTTCTCCACAGCTACTCCTACCTCTCACTTCCCACCCCAGGGCCTTTGCTCATGCACAGCCTACCCCCATCTCCCTGAAGGAGATGGACATAAAGTTCTACGTACATAATCTCATTTCATTTTCTCACAACCTTGTGAGTGAGGTGCTAACACTTATTCAGTTGTCCCCAGGATCCAAGCATGCTCAAGTCCTTTATATAAAATGGTATAGCACGTGCACAGGTTCTATGCATTCTTTAAGCCATCTCATGCCTGTAATCCCCATGACTCAAGAGGCTGAGGCAGGAAGATCGCAATTTCAAGGCCAGCCTCAGCAGCTTAGCAAACCTTCTCTCAAAATAAAGAATAAAGGGGCTGGGAATGTAGCTCAGTGTTCATGGGTTCAATCCTCAGTATCTAAATAAAGATTATTTATAACCCTTAACGCAATGTCAATGCTGTATAAAGAGCTTTTATACTGTATTGTGTAGAGAATAAAGACCAAAAATGTCTGCCTGGGCTTGGTGCAGATGCAGTGTATTTTCTTTCTTTTTGGTACTGGGGCTTGAACCCGGGGGCACACCCCCCAGCCTTCCCAACCTTTTTTTTTTTTTTTTTATATTATTATTCTGAGACAAGGGTCTTGCTTAATTGCTGAGCCTGGCTTTGAACTCATGATCCTCCTTCCTCAGCCTCCCAGGCCAATAGGATCACAGGTGTGCGCCACTGCCCGGCACAATTTTTCTCACTTATCAGTTGGTTGACTCGGTGGGCTCAGAGGGCTGACTATTCTCACTTTAGGATGTCAAGACTTGCTGAGGGAGGTGATGACCCTTGCCCAAGGCCACATCGGGAGTAGGTGGCTACTACCTTCGCTCCTCTCAGAGAACTTCAGAGCA